GGGGGCTGGAACCCACAGATCAATCTGTGCCTCTGACCTTGGAGGATCATGGGGACACAGGAGCACATGGGGGCCAGAACCCGCGGGTCTGTCTGTGCCTCTGTCCTCGGAGGTTCATGGTGCACAGGAGCACGTGGGGGCCGGAACCCATGGGTCTGTCTGTGCCTCTGACCTCGGAGGATGCACTTCACCTCTCTGATGCTGATTTCCTCACTGGATACTGTCCATGGTGCAGCCACCTGGGCCGGGCTCTGAGGACAGGTTCTGGGAAGCATCGCATTTCCTCCCTTTCTCACGGTGCGTTGCCTGGGTCTGCCTTCCAGGAAGCGTGAGCAGCTTGTGACGTTGAGAAGACTCTCGCTAAGCAAAGGAAAGCAAGTGTGGCGCATGCCACACGGTGATCGCGGCACCCTGTGTTTTATTGAGGGCTGTCACAGACCCTCCCAGATCCATCCGGAACCCTCTGGGCCACAGGGGAGCAGGGTGGCCATTTCTCTGAAGCTTGAAGTGATTTCAGAGGCAACAGAAAGGGCGCCTGTGTTGTGTTTAGTCAGGGCAGTCTGCGCTCTCCAGGCAGCACCCGGGGCACCACACACGCCATCCACACGCCCACTGCTGTGGCCGGAGGTCCACGGCCAGAGGAGAGCTGGATGTTGACTTGGAGGAAGTGCCAGGGCACAGAACGAAAGACCACCTCATTGCTCCCCAGGGAAGGTTTACGAGGCCTCAGGGCCACACGTGAGGGGACACTGCCATCATCGAGCTCCAGCAGGTAAGAAAAACGACTCGTAAAGTGCATCCTGCCAGAAGGGACCTAAGTGACAGGCTGAAGTGACGAAGCCCCCACCGAGTCGCCTTGGCGAAAGACGGTGTTTGTCCAGAGAATGCAGAAGCGCATTTCTGTGTGCGAATGGATGATTTCCAGCACTCCTCAGTCGAAGGCCCGGCTCTGTTTTGGCGATGGAAGTGTGAGCATGATGTCAGAGGTGGGTACCATCAGTTCTGCAGCATCCATCAGCCTCACATCTGGGATGGGAGGGCCTCCAGCCTCTCCCTGGGGAGCTATTCAGTTTGGACCATGGGAAATAAAGATGCTAGATCGAGGAAACTTATGGTCACATGATTTCAGAACATCTCAGGGTGCAGATGGTGCTGTAGCTCTGTGACCGCAGCCAAAACTGGCCTCCTAGGCCATGCTGCCCATCCCTCTGACAGTTGGCAGAGCCAACAGTTCTCCTGCCTCATACAAGGCAGCTGGGAAAGAGAGATGGAAGGAAAGAATGAGTGTTCCTGTGTCTCTTTAAGCACAGATAAGGGCATTTCTGAGGTCACTGAGATGATCACTTAATTTGAGAGGCCTACTCCTCCCACACATTTCTTCCATGCTGTCCCAGATGCTGAAGACATGCTCTACCCACAGCCTCTCCAGGCAACAGGGTGCTTGCCTCATGAGGCTGCCAGACTGTGGGTAGGAACGTGCAGAGGTATGGTGGTCTCCTCTGTCCACAGGGGATGTGTTCTGATGGCCCTGGTAATACCTGAAACCTCAGCCAGAACCGACACTTGTAGGTAGATTTTCCTGCTGTCATCGGAGTCATGGATGGACTCAAACATTTTCCGATTGGATGTCGGTTGAAAGGGTTAAATTATTCTCTAAAGACCTGAAATCCATAGAAAGCGATGTCTGGGTGGAGATAAGGGCCGTGGAGGCCCGGTTCCCACTGTGCAGAGGAGGCCTGCAGGCAGCAGGCTGCAGAGGGAATGGAGGGCAAGTGCTTCTGATCAGAGTCAGTTATCTCCTGGATCTGGACAAAGGAAGAAGGAAGGGAATTCTCTTCAGAATGTAGATTTTCCCTGCAAGAGCTGGCTTTGCTGGACTATTTCAAGATATGTCCAAAAAATAAAATGTTTTGATTTCCTTCTTTATCTGCCACGTGATGTGGTGCCAGAGTCAGTTTGGAAAGCAAGCCACGTGCTGTAGGGTAAAGAAAACCCTCTAATGAGATGCCACAGTTTGTAGGGCATGACTGTTAGATGGCAATTTGGGGCAAGAGAAGAAGAAAGCCCCAGCGCGGCGCTCCCGGCGTCCACGCACCCATGAGGAAGCTCAGCTTGCCCATCACGCGCAGTCACCGAGTAACCGTACTGAACTCGGCACTTAGAACCATGTACCGGAATAGGAGGAATGTGAATGTGATCTCTGTTTCTGTCATAGTTGCTTACTCCATACCTCAGCTGACTGAAGCCACAGGAAGGGAACCCCTGAGATGTGGGGGTGTTGCCCCCTACAAGATTTAGGCTGAAAATACAAAGCTTCCTGAGACAAGGAAGGACGGGAACCGCAGTTATACCGACACACATGCTAAATTAAGCTCTCCCAGCTCGAAGGCCACACCATACTCAGAAACCTTCGCATACCCTCAGCCCAGGCTGGATTTTTAACTTTGAACGGTGTTGCCTGGGCCACACGGCTCCCACACCTCCCATTTTCTCAGCTGATAAATAGCGAGGACAGGAAGAGACTCGTCGGTGAGGGACTTCTACTCCTAAAATTCAAGGCTGACCTTCAAACGTCCCCACTCCTCATCCTTGGAGGGCTGTTCTCGAGAAAATTAGGGTGTTCCTTGAGGAAAGTGCAGGCTTCCAATGGCAAGCTTGTGCTGTGTGTGAGCACGTGGCTTTGCCAAACTCCATGTCTGCTGCTGCTGGCCGTAGAGGAGCACTCCTGCGCGTCACTGCAACTGTGTGATGCTGACTTATCCTTCCAGTCTGCCTGTGAGAGCTCCTGCCTTGTGTGTGTGTGTCTGTGTGTCTGTGTGTGTGTGTGTCTGTGTGTCTGTGTGTGTGTCTGTGTGTGTCTGTGTGTCTGTGTGTGTCTGTGTGTGTGTCTGTGTGTGTGTGTCTGTGTGTGTCTGTGTGTGTGTGTCTGTGTGTGTCTGTGTGTGTGCCTGTGTGTGTCTGTGTGTGTCTGTGTGTGTGTCTGTGTGTGTCTGTGTGTGTGTGTCTGTGTGTGTGTCTGTGTGTATGCCTGTGTGTGTCTGTGTGTGTGTGTCTGTGTGTCTGTGTGTGTGTCTGTGTGTCTGTGTGTGTGTCTGTGTATCTGTATGTGTGTCTGTGTGTGTGTGTGTGTGTGTGTGTGTTGAAACTCCAGCATAAGGAGGGCTGAAGTTGAGGGTTCATTGTTTTGCATTATCCCCAAATTCCGTTCTCACCCAGCTGGATGCTCTGTTCTCACATTAATCACACATGTGATGATGATCTCCATGGAAACTGTGCTTAATTAGAACTGTCCATCATCTTTCTACATGAATGAGGCCATTCCAGCCTTTGGTTTCATATTATACATAATGTGGTCATTTGGCAGATGTATCTCATTAGCTGAAAATGCAACTTAAAGTATGCAGAAAGTGCTGTTTGCCTTTAAGAAATGGGGCTGAGTTATGTTAAATCATTTGAATCAACTGTCTTATAAAATACTTAACCTAGTTCAGATAGCTACTTCTCATACATATATATATGTATATATATATATATATATTTTTTTTTAAGCAGTAACTGGGAGATTACTTCCAGTTGCTGATCTTACTTCACATTTATTTGAGAGGCCATCATATTCTCTTCCTCAGCATCTCACATTGCCAAATCTTCATCTTCCTTTCCTAGCCTCCTACCAGCTTGTAGAAAATGGCAGATGCTGATTTGCTGGTTGTGATTCCAGTGTCGGTGTCTCCAGCATCATGTTCTGGAGTCAATCCTTTTGCAGGCTACAGCCTGGCTAACTGCATCTAACACTTGGGTAGGGCATGCAGGCACATGTGAGATGCACCTCAAAGCCTGTCCATGAACATTGGAAACCTACATGTGTGTGCAAATATATGCCTGGGGTCTAAATATGCAATCATATAATTATATTTTTGAAATATATGCCAAATGGTGACAAAGATGTGTGTCCATGTGTGTACATGCATGTGCCATCCTTCTGATACATTTCCCATAAATAACATGTTCACATGCACGTGGAACCTGGTGCCAAATGCTCCCTTACCTGACGCTCCCTGCCCCCCTCTTCAGGCCACTCCCACGCCTCTCACTGTGGCTGGCGTGAGCAGAGCCTCCCTGGGATGATGCTGTGTCTACACCACCTTTGCAGCCAGGTAGAAAGCAAGGCAGCCTGAAGAGTCAGCACCTGGTTTCCTGGGCAGAGCCCATAGGAGGAGAGGCACTGGATAATACTCCATCCAGCTCCCCAGGGACTAGTTAGATAAAATCACAAGTGTGTCTGTCTCCACAGTCCTGTGGCCCCACACGTGGAGGGAGGACAGAGCTCGATGACCCCCTGACCTCTGGCAGCCACGTGGTGATGTCCTTCTAAGAAAGTGATGTCTGCTTTTGTGTCAGCACAGAGCGAACAGTGGAAAGTCAATGCCAGTGACCTGAAAGATCTCCCAACAGAGGGAAATGAAATCTGTGTTCTGGTCGAAGTGGACCTAATGTGAACTAATATTAAGCACTAAGACCATAACCGCAGGCTTTGCACATTGCAAAATGAGGCTTCAAATAGCATGAAGCTTTCTAGACAGTAAGGGAAGTCTTTATCATGGGCGAACTGGGGCCTTCGTGGGACTCACCCAGCTGGAAGGAACTGGGGAAAGTAAGAGTGGGCTGACTTTACTGAAGTCTGCTCCAATGCAAAGAAGACCTAATAAATTTGAAGTTAGGCCGGAGGTGAAGCTGAGAGTTGTTGGGACCCGCTGCTGTGTCCATGTCTGTGGGAGAAATGTGTGCATCTGTGATCACAATGCTGCTTTACAGAAATGATGGTGGTTTCTGAGGTTATTGGCACAAAATGCCGGGCTGTGAGCAGTGACATCTGAAGAAATACGAAGTTGCCTGTCCTGTTTGAACTGTGTTGAGTGTGGTGGGTTTTAAAGATGTGCTGGGAGTGACTGCAGTCTACACCAGACACGCATTAATGAGTGACTTTGTTTCTGTCTTTGCAGAGGAAGAAGGTGGAGACCTGGTCCAGCCGGGCATCAGCTTTCCGGGGCCAGCAGAGGAGGATCTAGGTAGAGTACCCACGTCAGCCCTGCTGTGGGGGTGACAGAACCCCGCACACCGCGGGCATCTCCCGTCATGGGGCCTTCCCACCGTCACACGTTAGCATGTTTGCCTTTAGAGAGTGAGCTAAGAGCTAAGTCAAATGGGGCACCTTTTTCCAAAAATAATAGTTTATTTAAACACTGCGAAGTGCTGGGTGGGGAAGGGCTGTTCCTGGCCCTCAGGAATGGAGGCCTCCATTCACATAATCGATACACGTCTCCAGAGGTGAGGGACCCTCCTTCCCTTGTGCCTCTGTGACTATGTGTTCGAAGCAGCCTCAGGAAGCAGGGAGCTCCCACATCTGCACTTCTCACATAGCCCTTACCTGGCAGGAAGCAGCCAGCTACACACACCATGAGCTGGGAGCTGAGCACGAGCTGCGCTTCCTCCAGGGGCCCTGGGACAGGCTGGTGTGGTGTCGTTTCCCCAGTGCTGGTTAAAGGCACATGGAAATTTCATATCTGAGCTGCCACCGACACAGGAAAGCTGGTGCCGTATTTGCCATCAGTCTTTTGACGTGGAGCTATGCTTACAAGAAGGCCAAATGCTTCTGCTAGAGATGTGGAATGTTGAATAAATTCAACATCAAACGGCTGAATAGAAGCCACGTGAAGCCACAGCTGAAGACGGAGGCCGTCAGTGGCTCTGGCACTTTGCTCCCTGTTGTTATTCTCTAACCTTAGAGATTGTTAGCCTCTTTCTCGAGCCGCTGAGGGCGTCCGCGGTGATGGCACTCAGGGTTGGGTCATAGGTCATGAGTTCATTTTATATAAATTTGCATTTTTAAAAACATACTTCAGACTTTTAGCCAATGCATCTGTTGCTGGTTTGACTGGCCTAAAAAAATAGTATTGAAAATGGAAGGGGTTCACTTTGTATAAAGTTATGATTTCTGTTAAAGAAAACTACAGCCAAAAAATGTTTGCTTTTCAACTGAAGATTATAAAAATGGGTAGAGTTCTAACAGATGACAGTACCATCCACTGCGACCGAGGCCTAAATTCATTGCCAACTGACATTCTACACAAGCCTTTCTTCACTCGGAAATAGGCGAGTGAAAGCATTTTGACTTCTCACCAGGGAGGAGCCGTGGCGATGGTGTGTGAGTAATTATGCATCTGTTTTTCTAACCCTCACTCTGGCAATGCTCCATCATGATTAATCTTCAGTGCTCGGCCTGCCTGGGAAGGCCTCCAGATGCACATGGCTCATTTGGCGCTTGCTTGCTTGAGGCTTTGGAGGTGGCTCGGCCGCATGCGCCCTGCGTCTGGACAATGTTAACGTCACAGTTGTGCCCGTGCCAGTTCTTCTCCATGGCAGTGACCATGCCCAGGGGCTGTCGCCAAGGCAGCGCGAGGTTCCTGGGGTGGCTCTGCTTGGGCACGGGCACAGTGGGAAGAACCTGGAGGCCAGAGCAGTGGGCACAGAACTGAAATGAGAGTGCAGGAGTCACTCTGCGGAGGCCACTCTGCCCGGGTTCTCACCCCGGACTCCCAGGTTGGGAGTTCACGTTTTCCGCAGCCACACGGAGTGAACTTCGAGGGGTGAGGCCGGGGCAGAGGAGGCAGAAGGTCACGTGGGTGGCTTGGTGCCGGCTGGAGTGTAGGGACAGAAAGCATTTTGTCAGCTTAGCCTTTGTAAGTTTACAGTCCACAGCATTAAATGCATTCACGTCGCTGTACAGACGCCAGCACCTCCGTCTCTAGAACTCTTCCCTCTTCTGCAAGTAAAATCCCATCCCATTAAACACTCACTCCCATTCCGTTCCCCCAGGCCCTGGCACCCCACTTCTGCGTCCGCCTCTGTGAATCTGACTCCTCTAGACTTCCCAGCAGTGGAACCACACAGGATTTGTCCTGGTGTGGCTGGCTCATGTCACATGGCAGAATGTCTTCTAGTTATTACACATGGCCATTGCACTGTGTGGATGGATTGCACTGGCTCCCGTGCATCCATGGATGGACCCCTGGGTCGCTTCTCTTGGGCTGTGGTGAATGGCGCTGCCATAAACATGGCACGCGGCTCTCCACGTCGCTGCTTTCGGCTTGTTTGGGTCAATGTCCAGAGGTGGAATTGGGGGATCCTGTGGTGAACTGAAGCATCCTCGTTATGAGGAGCCTCCACACTTCTTAGGGACAGGGGGTGCTTCCTGAGCCATCTCTACAGTCTTGCCATGGGGCAGGGCTTGGCGGTTTAAGAATGAGGAGGGTCAGATGTTAGAAGCTTTGGAAAGAAAGAAATGGGGATTTGGTGACGGTTGGCTGAGAGGCTGCCTGGCTCAAACACATGCGTGGCTTTCCCCTCGAGGGTCAGTGCCTGGGTGGAGGACTTGGGAGGAGAGGCAGGAGCCACTGTTGCTGTCTAGTGAGCCAAAGGAGCATGAAACAGCCACGTGCAGACGGGTGACCCATGGGACTCACACAGAAGCACAGCTCATGAGGGAGGTGGATGCGCTGGTTCCAATGAGTCCTTTTAGCCCATTCGTGGAAATATTAGATCTTCACCCTGGTTCTCTGTCAATCAGGATCACTTGGGAACGTTTAAAAAAACACCAATGCCCACTCCCCATCTGATATATTTGTCTGAGGACTGACTTGACCGTTGTCATCTTTAAAAGTTCTCTACCTGATACTTTAAATGGAAGAAACACTTCTTTTTTGACTTTAAAAATGTTTTCTCTAGCTTTATTAAGTTATATTCAGAGATAAAAATTGTATGTGTTTCTGGTGTACAACATGTTTGGATACAAGCGTCCCTTGTAAGATGAGTGAACGAAGCTCGTCTTCCTGTGCTTGTGAGACGCTTAAGATCTCACCGCTTAGCCATTTTCAAGTACACAAACCATCACCTGTGGCCGCCGTGTGGAACGTGAGGCCTCCTAACTTCCTCCTGTTGTCTGGCTGAAATGCAGCACCCTTCAGCCACCACCTTCCCAGGCCCCCCACCCTCCCTCTGGCGACCACCATTCTATCCTCTGCTTCTGAGTCCTCTGCTTTAGATCCCACGTGTAAGTGAGGTCATGCGGCATCTGTCTTTCTGTGTCTGGCTTTTTCCCCTCAGCATGACGTCCTCCAGGCTCATCCATGTCATAGCACATGCCAGGATTTCTCACTTTTTAAGACTGAGTAGGGATTCCACTGCATGTAGACCAAATTTTCCTCATCTGGGGCTCTGCTGATAGGCGTGAGGTTGGTTCTGCACGTTGGCTGTGGGGGTCAGCACCTCAGCCAACACAGGAGTGCAGATAGCCTTCCACACGTTGATTTTGTTTCCTTAAATACCCAGAAGTGGGATTCCGGGATTATTCCTTTATCATTCCAGTGTACTCCTAGGATTGAGAATCCTGATGGATAATTAAGGGAAAAAGCAAAAAAAAAAAAAAAAAAAAAGCCACACACACACACAAAAAGGGTGGGAGGGAGGAAGAGAAAGAGGAAGGAGGGAAGGGAGGAACTAAGGGAGGGAGGGAAGGTTATCTGAGTCATGTACCTAATGCTATCGTAATAATGCTGGGAGCAAATAGCGTCATTTTAGACGTTCGTTTTTCCAAATAGAGTTGTCCAATGTCCGCATCTTTAAATTGAGAGACTTAAATGATGATTGTTGAAGGATCTTCCAAGTACAAATTTAGGAATCTATAATTCCACTGGGTCAAATTAAAATTAAAAACACTTCATAATGATCTTATTGCTATTATAGTGAAGAGTAACTGTCATTTCCAAAATGCTGTGGGACATTTTACAGCACAGTGTAAGTTATAGTCATAAGGCAATGAAGTGGCATTTGCCTCTGGTCCTATTTTAAAGCATTCATTTCTTTTTTTCCCCCAACCGCCCTCAGTCTCCAAAAGATCCAAGGAAACCTGAGTGGCGTTGACTGAGGAGCCTGAGATATCATTACTGACAGACGAATTAGTGAAGCCGCGCACACCTGGATTATTGCCGTTACCTCTTAGGAGTGTGTGCGTTCTCTGACGCTCATAGAGTGGAATGTATGAAAAGTGATTTTATGATACGGAAAATGGCTGCAAAATATAGGAGGAAAAGGAAGTTTTCTATCAAATTAAAGTCACCGATAAAATAGATTAATGTAGCACACTCAGAATGAGTACAGTGAAAGAGAAAAACACACTCTCTCCAGAAGGAGCGTTTCTAGGGAAGACCTTCAGACACGCTAAAATTACACTGCTCTCTTAGTATCTGTTGTAACGTTGGTTCATTACAGACGTTACTTCTAAGAATAGCATGTTTTCATTTTCCCAAATGTTATATCTAAATCAGCTGTAAAGAGTTTGTGACTTATTAGCATCTGCGAAGATTGTTAAATTGACCCGAATTTTGTCATTGATAATTGAATGCAAAATGAAATGAAAACAAAATTCGCAGATTAAATCACCAAATAATATTAGGCACATATTTTATGTGCAACACAACACTGAGAAAATGTACATACTATGTAATTTTGAAATACCTGGATATTGAAATAATACTTGGAGCCTTCCAGGGGCAGGCGCATAGATTGCGAACATGTTTTTATGTAACTGGCCGTCAGCTGGCATGGCCGCCATCATCTGCACAGCATTTAAGTGCACTCACGTCTCACTGCAATGATGGTGCACGTCTTGTCTCACAGGATCTCCCCTTGGGATGTTTGCTTACTTTTGTTTGCTCTTTAATGAAACAAAAACAAAACAAAACAAAAAACCCGGCTCTACCTATACTTGTCACTTTGTAACTTTATAGCCATCCATACTTATTTCCTTGAGGGAAATTTCTAGAAATAGCGGAAGCAGTGATGTGCTGAATTTCTGTCCAGGAAGAAGGTAGCTATCCACCCCCTGCCTCCCAGGCGTCGTTCAGCCGGCTCCTCAGCCAGCACGGCCTTCTCCGCTGACCACCCTCCCTCCCTCCCAGGCATCCTGTACCTTCCACCGCCTCATTTCCTGGGCGGGTTGGACTTTCTTTTG